GAGGTGATCATGACTTTGGTTTAACCGGGAAAGACGAAATGGAGGCATATCTTCTAAATGAAAATAAAGACAAAAATCTCATCGAACAACGAAAATTAATCTCAAATCAGATCGGACAATTAGAAAGACTATTAGAAACCTACAAGGATATTTTTGCAAATGACATCAATGCACTAGGACACGCAAAAATGATTCAACATTGAATTGAAACTGAGATCAACAAATCTATTTGACAACACGCTTATCGAGCAACTTTTTCAGATCAAAGTTTCATTCATGACAAAATTCAGTACATGCTTGAAGCAGGAATCATCCAATGATCCAGTAGCTCCTGGTCTTCACTGATCGTAGTGGTCACTAAGAAAAATGGGAAGAAATAATTATGTATAGACTATCGATGACTTAACTCGATAACCAAAAAGGACGCTTATCCGTTACCAAGAATTGACGAAATGATGAATAGTCTTGGTGAATCGAAATGGTTCTCATCTATGGATCTAACTTCTGGATACTGACAAATTGAAATGGAACCACAGAGTGTCGAAAAGACCACATTCATCTCAAGAAAAGATCTCTTCGAATTCAAAGTGATGTCCTTTGGCTTGTGTAATGCGCCTGTCACGTTTCAAAGAGCAATGGATGTTATAATTGGTGATTACAACTGGAAATTCGTGATGATATACATTGATGACATCAATATGTATTCCTGGATCTTTAACGAATACTTATGGCATCTGGAATTGATTTTCCAGCAAATTCGAGACGCGAAATTAAAGCTAAACTTCAAAAAATACAAATTTACTCAAAATAGTTTATCTTTCCTTGAATACATCATCAGTCAGAACAGAATCTTGCCAGATCCAACTATTGTGAAAAAGATTAAAAGCTTCTCTCAGCCAATGACTATTAAAACGCTTTGTTTCTTCCTTGGCCTCGCCTGGTTACTACTGGAAGTTCATCAAGGGATTCTCACAAATTGCTACTCTCCTCTTCCAACTTCTCAGGAATAATGTTCATTATATCTGGACCATAGATCAAGAAAACACGTTCAATCTGTTAAAAAAAATTAGTTACGGTTCCAATTCTCATCTACCCAGACTTCACAAGAAAATTTTACCTATATACAGACGCTTTTAATATCAGATTGGGAGCAGTTCTCTCTCAAAAGAATGAATAAAGTTGAGAATGAGTTGTTGCTTACATGAGTGTCTCCCTGAAACCTGCTGAAAAGAGATATAGCGTTATCGAAAAGGAAGCTCTTGCCGTAGTATGGGCTGTTCGACAGTTCTGACATTATCTTCTTGGAACACTCTTTGAAATTGTCACGGATCACAATACCCTTCACTGGCTTTTCACCAAACAAATCAACCCTGGACCCCACGTTTCTCGATGGATTATAACGATGATAGAATACACCTTTCTGATTATCTACTGCTCCAGAAAAATGAACCAGAACGCGGACACACTCTCATGAATAGAACAATAAAATATGAAAACATATAGAATCACCTAATAACACGCAAACAGAAATAAATAAATAAAATAAAAAAAAAATATATATACATTTCAAGTAATAATAACAATATACCAGAAAAAGAGAATATTCAACCCTCGACAAATTCAATCGAAGACATCCAAATCTCAGCAAACTCGACCAGGATGAATCTAATGATGTACTCTGATCTAATAAAACATCTTAAGAATGAAAGTTACCTCGAAGAGTATAACGAAGAACAACGCAAATGAATCCAAAACCAATCAAAACATTACACAATTCAAGATGACCTGCTCTACAAGATTAACCAGAGGAAAGAGCTCAATAATTCACTCTGTATACTCAAAATGACTGAAACTGAAGCAATTATAAATAATTTACATGGTGATACACTTTTCGAACATTTTGAATTCGAGGGAACTTATCAGAGAATCGCTACAAGATATTGGTGAAATAATATAGGAAATGACATAAAGAATTTCGTAAAATCCTGCAAAACATGTCAATTAACCAGCGAACAGATAACCAAATAACCACTATATTCTATCAAGCTTGATCAATCATTCGATCGCATCGTAATTGATCTTGTTAGACCCTGCAAGCTAACAAATAAAGAAAACTGTTATATCATCGTGATCATTAATTACTTAACCAAATGGCCTGAAGCGAAGGCAATCCCAAACAAAGAAGCATCGACAATGGCTATATTTATCTTCAAAGAGATAATCTGTCACTACAGATGCTCTAGAGAACTGCAATCAGATCAAGAATCAGAGTTCACAGCAACAATAACTAATGAACTTACCATAAAATTTGGCATTAAACATAAGTTGTCTTCGCCGTACCATCTACAAACTAATGGGATTATTGAATGGTTTAACAGAACACTCTGCACAATCCTACAAAAATATTGTATAGCGTTAGAAACTAAATGGGATATATACAAATCAGCAGTTCTCTTTGCTTATCGAATGCACAGGAATGCGTTCACTCAACACGAGCTCTTCTTTCTACGTATGGTCATGAAGTCAAAATGCTGATTGAACTTCAATATCTGACTTCAAAAGAAACTGACACTAATTCAGACCAACAAACATTAAACTGCATTTTTTCCATAATTCACCAACTTCCAATGATGATAGAAATGACTAAAGAACGAGTCACCAAAAGCCAAAAGAAATTCAAGAAACACCATGATCAATGAATAAAGGCAATGTCCTTCAAAATTGGTGAAAAAGTACTAATCTACAACATGAAGCAACATGCACTATACAGTGACAAGTTTAAATCACAATGGAGTCTCGAGTGGTATTATATTCACGAAGAATGTGGCAATAATACTTACAAATTGCGTAGTCAACAGGATTTGCTGCTGAAGAAACTCTTCAATGGAACACAGCTAAAAAAGTATCATGAAAGAAATCAACAAAAAAATAATAATAAGATAGTAAATAATAAATAAAGTTCTCCAGAAGGAGTTAGTGACCACATAATATTAATCTTACCACATGTCAATACAAGTTTAATATACCGGAATGATAAATCGATCACCTCAACACAACCATACTAATTGCGAAAATTCAACAAATAACTACACATTCAAAAGCATGAAAATATATATATATCAGCATTTTCAGAATGAACGCACGACACACAAAAAAAAATATAACAATGACGATGAGCATTTCAACACTATCGTCAGATACCATCACTTCTCTTCTCTAATTACAGCTCGAACTCAGTTACTGTCACTTCAGAGGAACTGTCTCTGTTAGTCAAATGCAAATAATGGTCACCAACGACGAAGATGACCAATATAATCTTCTGGAGTTATCCAGAGTAGACAATAACAATCTCAAAAGATTGTTAATCACGACGTTCCCACTAGACGATAACAGCAACGATCCAGAAAGATTAATTGAAACAACGTTCTCACTGAATAATTTTGTCATCCTTCCTATCACATCGAGCATTCCTGACAAACTTTGCAATATTATAACTAATCTTAATCAACCCCAACTGAAAGACTTCATCGAAATCACACTCCGCTACCAATTCACCGATAACCAAGGTTAGAAGTCAAGAATTCAACAGGTTCTTGCTGACATCATGCAGCAAGAAGAAGAAAATTATATAAAATTGATGCGCTACTATCATCTTGATTCCCTGATATCAGTAATGCCGCTGATATTTAAACACCAGATGACGTCTTTAAAGAAAGAGTTGGGTCAAACCTGTAAAACCTCATTCATCAATCACTTTTAACTGCGTTTACCAGATCTTTCGCTGAAAAGATTTGTGACGATTAGGCTGACACTTGAAACTAATCCCAATTTAAATCAGCACACTTAGCAAAGACAACATCTCTGCGATTTTCAATGACATCTAAATTCACATGTTTTTACAAAGTAAAAAGAACTTCCCAACCAAGGGTGAGTATTACACTAGTAACACAGTCTCCTTTTAGAAATGCATTATTTTTTTCATGTATGTTTCTTTATTTGTATTATTTATGTCAATCAATTCAAATTACACTGCAAATTACACTACAATTTGCACTGTGAATTACATCATAATTTACATTACAAATTACACCATAAATTACATTGCAAATTACATCATAAATTACACCACAAATTACACTGTAAATTACATCACCAATTACACTGTAAATTTCACTGTAAATTCCACTATAATTTACACTATTAATTATATCTTAAATTACATTATAAATAGGAAGCCAAAAATGTATATAATAAAAGTAATTAGAAGAGACAGAAGAATTGATAATAAAGCAATAAAAAACTTTAAAATATAATTACTTACTTGTGTACAATTAGTTTTATATGATGCTCTTTCATCCTCCATCCCAATAATTAAATCCATTATTACAAAGAGGGGTTTGTCACTTTGATCCAGAAAAAGTGAGATAATTGTTTTGATGACTACGATTTAAGAGTTTACGCTTTTGGTCCAGAAAAAGTGAACGCATTGTTAACATTTATGAAACACATAAACGAAATCAAACTGACAATTAAACACAACAATATCCAAAGATATTGGCACAGAATCTTGGAAAACTAATAAATAAAATAACTTTAGTTTAATTCGTTTCTCCCACCCAAGTTACTAATTCCTATAATCAGTTATTAATCTGTAACAATACTTACACTTTTCGTAAATATTCATGAAAAGACATGTTTATTCTGATTTTCTGCCAAATAATTAACATTGTATGGCTAAATTCATATAATTAATATAAATACAGAATTAATGTTATCAAATAACAACTAAAAAAAAAAGATACCTATTATTTACCTCTAAAAGCATGCATGCTATACACAGAATGCTTACAGCTAAACACAAAAAACTATTAATATTTATATAATAAATAAAAAGCAGCAATGAATACACGTCACCTCTACTAAAGATCGATACGCACGCATACAATTTGCGTGTACAATTTCGAATCACGTTCTCGCTTAATAAAGCCAAACTGTTTCTCTCAATAATTATTCACAGCTTCTTGCTTTACATTTAATGCTGATGATAAATTGATATTTATTGTTGGCTCAAATGGTCCTACTGTTGATACTGACTGTTTACCAGCGGAAAATGCTAAAGTGCCTGGTTTCACTCTATTTAAATTATGTATATAAGATTATTATGACTAAAAAGATACAATACAAGTTCGTGAGACTAAAAAAACTTGACAAATCATATGGCATACTTTCTATGCATACTTTATTTCTAACTGAGCGATGATCTGTTCAGAAAGCTATTTCACTTGTATATCATTTTGCGGTTCTTTTGATATTTTAAGTGTGAACGGATCAAATTGCAATCTTGACAGAAAAATCATTTGTTTAGTTTTAAAAAAATAAAGTTCATATATATAGATTCATGACTTAAAGCAAAGATTCTCACTTTTTCTGCCAACATTATAATATCATCATTTGGATCAATTCCAAATCAATTAGTAGTATTTTTATTTAAATCAGATTACTGGGTATCAAGAATTAGATTATTGAATATTGAGATATGTGTTATGAAATAACTGATTATATTTGTGACGTGAAAGTTTATAAGCATACAATAACTGATATAGAAGCTCTACCAACCTATAAAAAGTATCAATAATCAGCATTTGTAATGTTCTTTGTGCTCAGAAAAATTTGGTGTATTACACATGATCTATA